CAAGTCTGTGACTTACAGAAGGAAATGGCTGCAGCTGCTAGATTTGATGGGCAAACTTTTATTGGGGTGTCTTACAGTTTTTTCTTTTTTTTTTTTCTTTCTCTCTGCTTGCGTATCACAGAATCACAGAATAGTAGGGGGTGGAAGGGCCCTCTGTGGGTCATCTAGTCCAACCCCCCTGCCGAAGCAGGGTCACCTACAGCAGGCTGCACAGGACCTTGTCCAGGCGGGTCTTGAATATCTCCAGAGAAGGAGACTCCACAACCTCCCTGGGCAGCCTGTTCCAGTGCTCCGTCACCCTCAGAGGGAAGAAGTTCCTCCTCATGTTCAGACGGAACTTCCTGTGCCTCAGTTTGTGCCCATTGCCCCTTGTCCTGTCACTGGGCACCACTGAAAAGAGCTTGGCCCCATCCTCCTGACACCCACCCTTCAGATATTTGTAGGCATTTATAAGGTCCCCTCGCAGCCTTCTCTTCTTCAGGCTGAACAAGCCCAGTTCCCTCAACCTCTCCTCGTAGTGGAGATGCTCCAGTCCCCTCACCATCCTTGTAGCCCTCCGCTGGACTCTCTCCAGTAGCTCTTCATCTTTCTTGAACTGGGGAGCCCAGAACTGGACACAGTACTCCAGATGAGGCCTCACCAGGGCAGTGTAGAGGGGAAGGAGAACCTCCCTCGTCCTGCTGGCCACACTCTTCTTGATGCACCCCAGGATCCCATTGGCCTTCTTGGCAGCCAGGGCACACTGCTGGCTCATGGTTAACCTGTCGTCCACCAGGACACCCAGGTCCCTCTCCGCAGAGCTGCTCTCCAGCAGGTCCACCCCAAGCCTGTACTGGTGCATGAGGTTGTTCCTCCCCAGGTGCAGGACCCTGCACTTGCCCTTGTTGAACCTCTTCAGGTTCCTCTCTGCCCAGCTTTCCAGCCTATCCAGGTCACGCTGAATGGCAGCACAGCCTTCTGGTGTATCTACCACACCTCCCAGTTTGGTGTCGTCAGCAAACTTGCTGAGGGTACATTCTAACTCTTCATCCAGGTCGTTGATGAAGAAGTTAAACAAGACTGGGCCCAGTACTGACCCCTGAGGGACACCACTTGTCACCAGCCTCCAACTAGACTCAGCGCCGCTGATGACAACCCTCTGAGTTCTGCCATTCAGCCAGTTCTCTATCCACTTCACCGACCACTCATCCAGCCCACACTTCCTCAGCTTCCCTAGGAGGATATCATGGGAGACTGTGTCGAAAGCCTTGCTGAAGTCAAGGTAGATAACATCCACGGCTCTCCCTTCGTCTACCCAGCCAGTCATGTCATCATAGAAAGCTATCAGATTGGTCAGGCATGATTTCGCTTTGGTGAATCCATGCTGACTACTCCTGATAACCTTCTTTTCTTCCACTTGCTTGATGATGGCCTCCAGGATAAGCTGCTCCATCACCTTTCCCGGGATGGAGGTGAGGCTGACCGGCCTGTAGTTCCCTGGGTCCTCCTTCTTGCCCTTTTTGAAGATTGGAGTGACACTGGCCTTTCTCCAGTCCTCGGGCAAGTTCAACAAGGCCAAGTGCAAGATTCTTCACCTGGGTCAGGCAACCCTTGGTATCAATACAGGCTGGGGGATGAGGGGATTGAGAGCAGCCCTGCTGAGAAGGACTTGGGGGTAGTGGTGTGTAAAAAGCTGAACGTGAGCCCACAACATATGCTCACAGTCCAGAAGGACAACCATATCCCAGGCTGCATAAAAAAAACATGGCCAGCAGGTCGAGGGAGGTGATTCTGCTGCTCTACTCTGCTCTGGTGAGACCCCACCTGGAGTCCTGCATCCAGCTCTGGAGCCCTCAGCACAGGAAAGACATGGACAAGCGGGTCCAGAGGAGGGTCACAATGATTATCAGGGGGATGGAACACCTCTCCAGTGAGGAAAGGCTGAGAGAGTTGGGGGTGTTCAGCCTGAAGAAGAGAAGGCTGCAGGGAGACCTTATAGCAGCCTTTCAGTACCTGAAGGGGGCCTATAGAAAAGAAGGGGAAAATCTTTTCAGCAAGGCCGGCTGTAATAGGACAATACCTTTAAGCTAAGGGAGGGTAGATTTAGACTAGATATAAGGAAGAAATTCTTTACAATGAGGGTGTGAAACACTGGAACGGGTTGCCCAGGGAGACAGTGGAGGCCCAATCCCTGGAAACATTCAAGGCCAGGTTGGACAGGGCTCTGAGCAACCTCGTCTAGTTGAAGACGTCCCTGCTCACTGCAGGTGAGTTGGGCTAGATGACCTCTAAAGGTCCCTTCCAACCCAAAGCATTTTATGGTTCTATGATGCTATTAATAAAGAATTATATCTTCTCATCTTATTGCTCTCTAAAAAGTACCAGAGATCCTTCTGGCAGCAGAGACTCTTAGTTCACAAAATCAATAATCTCATTTTAATCTGGACATACTGAAACATGCATGGCCATAGAAAAAATATAAAGTAATAAATTTTACACAATTTAGCACCTTTGACAACTGTGTAGCTGATGTCCTAATAAAAGCACTTTTGGGTTACAATCCTTTAGGACTTAATGCAAGGGCCAGATGTTTAAAATCAGCCAAACAGACAGCAGGATTCCAACTTTGCAGCAAATTGACTGTTCTGTAGGGGTGACAGGCTCACTGAGCCCAGCATGGACTCACTAGAGTTTCCTACCGTTAGAACAATAACGGCAAGGAAAAGATTATATGGTAGAAAGTCTGTTTAACCACTAAGGGCACATGAATCAAAGGCAACATGAATCAAGGAAACAATAGCTAAACAAACTAGACTGCTGGTTGGATGGAACTGTTCAAGAAAAAAATACATAGCTCATTCTATATCCAGAAACAAGTGCTGTTTGGACTGATTCACTTTTTCAATCATCATCATTGGTCATCATTCAGCAATGCTCTCCACCAAACCAAAACTGAATCTTATTTTTTGGAAAAACTGTAGAAACTGATAGAAAAATAGAACTTCAGCTATTAATTGTCAAAAGATGGCCAGAGACTCAGCATGTCAGAGTCATCTTACGCCATTAATAAATATGACAACTAACTTTCACTTTCCTGTATTTACCTGTAACTATCTGAAAGATCAGCTTAGTCAGAGAATATTGTAAACTCAAAATGCCATCAGTCTTACATCTTACACAACACCTGCACGAAGTCCATTCTGAATTAAAGAACATTAAGAGGCTGTAGAATAAATCCACAAAGATTGCATCAATAAATATCTTTAGAAGATATAAAATGACAAAGGAAAAGCATCAGATTCAGAAAATCTGGTTATCAGGCTGAAGAACAGGTCAGTCTTTAAATAAACTAAATAGTAAGTAGCCGGAGACACTTCTTTCTAGATCATTAGCTGACGTCAACCCAATTTTCTCAAAATTCATGGCAATTCAGCTTGTATCTCATATGCTGCTACCAAGTAAAGCACAGATCTCATTACTTCAGTGACTAAGGCTGCCTTTGGTCCTCACAATAAAGTATTTAAGTTCACACCAAGTCCGCTTTAGAAAACAGCCTGAAGAAAGTTATCACATGTATTTAGATGAACTGAAGAGATAATCAGTTGAACAATTCTGCTGGTGATAAAAATATTTACTTGCTTATCCCAGTAAGAATTCTACTTGTTTCATGTGCAATAGCCCAGCTTCAGCAATGGCAGGAACAGCACAAAACTTCATGTGTTCTTCAGCTAATCTGTTCCATCACCTTTCTGCAACTCTGTTTAAGTTAGCAGTAAAACTAGCTTTAGGTATCGCTTGTCTTGCATGGCTGAGGATTCTTCTCTACGCATTTCGACGTAAATGTAACAGAATACAAAAGCTTGAGTTCACATCACTGATTAAGATTCATCCTCTTGCTTACGTTGAGGTACCTGATTTAAGCTACTCATTCGGGCTTCCTCCCCAGTCACTGGAAAAAGACATGTATCTTCAGCAGGTGATGAAACTTACCTGTCTTAGAATAACGTGAGAAAACCTCCCTCTCCATTGACAAACAGCTGGCTCAGATGCCATGCTTCAGTTTCAGTGTTCAGGTTAGGCGAGATTAATCCCAGCTGAAAGAACCTATGGGCTCATACACTTGCCTGCACATTTAAAAAGCATACTTGTGCTGAACAAAGTCAGACTACACTCATAGCCACAGAAAATTAACTTGCTGAGTTACACAGCTGCCAACAAGAGTTACAAAGAACATTTAGTTTACAAAACAGAATTAATGCACATTTACCTAGTCTTTCTTCTTGTTTTAAAACATAGAAAAAAAGCTGTTCTCCAAGTAAACAAGAAAAAAAAAAGGTTTCAGTACACTTTAACAGGTAAATAACAGGTAGAATTGAGTAAAATTTGCTAAAACAAGAGCGATGAAACTGAATCTGTAAAAGAAACTGTTCTGTGTAGGGCAGATTAAAAACTTCTGCCTTGGTTAGCAATTAAATAATTTCATAAACAGTTTATAAATACTGAAGAGAAACATACCTGGCATCAACTCAGCAGTAGGGAATATCTTCTCCTGCTTCATTTTACTTTCATGTAATAACTCTTCTTTGGTTATTGGAAGATCTAGAACATCTCGAATAATCTGTGCCCCTTCTAGGGCTTTTTTACCCATGACCAAGGATTTCACGTCCCAGGTATAGGTCTTTCCAAAACGCCCACAGATCTCTTCAAACACTGCTGTATACAGATGCTCAGTATCTGCCAAAAACAACAACAATAAGAAAAGATTAAAACCACCTACAGCCATCTGAGCAGCCAGTCTTACAAGGAGGAGAGGACTAAATAAATGGTCACAGAGTGCACTGCCTGGAGACAGAGGGCACATCAAAGCGGACAAAATTGCCTCCCTTTAATTGCAAAGGGAAAGCCAGCCTTCTAAAATCACCCCAGAGGTACCTAGGTTTTTCAAGCTGTTACTTCTGTGTTACAAAAAGGTTACTGATGGTCACAACAAAAAAACACCTGAACCTGCTCTTTCATCACCCTACTTTACTATACAGTTTAGCAAGCAGTGTCTTAATTAAACTACTCTATTTATTCTTTGCATGAGAAAGAAAAGGGAAAGAATCTAGTACTTGGGGGATGTCATTACATATTCCATGTAAATTGGGGAAAAAAAAAAAAAAGATTTAATTATTTAAGAGTGTCTTTGAACATAAGCTTCAGAGGGCCTTCAAAGACACCACAGTCATTATTACAGTGCTGCTGGCACTTCTGCATTTACATGTGATTACTCAAGCAGAACACACCCACTTGTATTTCCAGGAGGTTTCTGGCAAGAGTAAACTTCAGGCTGAATTTTGCCAGTGAAACTATCAGCTTCTATGTCAAAGGTGGTTTTAGTTTTCAAACTATTTTCTTTTTTTTTTTTAATACAAATAAATAATCCTTTCTGTCTTTCCCCCCAGAAAATCTTTGAAAAAGAAGGTCAATAACATTTAATTTAACACTAAAACGGGGAATAAAAGTCCTTTGAACTCTTGACTTCATTTCAGCAATGATCTTGAACAGTGGCCTTTCTACCAGTCTGTTTATCTTTTTAAGTAGCCTCCTTTGAAATGCCAGCTACTGCTGTTAATCACCTTCTCGTGCATGTCTTTGCCTTCTGTATCTCTAAAGGTATGTTTATTACTATCACTATAGCAATGAAAGGCAAAAGCAAGGAAAGAAAGTAGTTGCTCTTATGAGATTTATTTGGAGAAATTAGGGACTTCACTTATCAACATGTCCTTTGTCATGTAAAAATATTTTTTATAGTGATAATAAAATAGTGAAATTATTCATGCGGACATTGCTTCACTTTCTCAATATACAAGAAGTATGCAACAGTTTAAACTTTAAGCTTTAACACAGATACCAAGAAGAAGACAGACTGAAGAACGAAGAGCAGAGCACATGACTACAACATACACAAGGATCTTCCCTGTAGTCTGACAAATGCTTGCCGCTTAACCACAGTAATCTGCTTGTCCCGAGATCAGCAGATGATTCCGATCTGAAATCAAATGAGAAACATAGGAGCTGTTTCCCATCATTGCACCTACCATCATGTGAACACACAGCAGTGCAGAAGACACATTGTGCCATCTGCCACTGCACTCTTCTCCGTGTTCCCCGTCAGTAACCACAAGGGATGTTGAGCCAAAAGACCAGCTAAAAGGGCAATGTACCTGTCTGGACTGCTTAGCAGGGCAACAAATGGCTCACAAAAGCCTCTTAGCTTAAAAATGAATGAAAAAAATAAAATAGCACCTGTGCTACTCTTTGCAAATGCTTCTTCAACAACGACACTTATGGAAAAAAGTTAAGAGTAATCCTGGAGATGCATAAATCACACAGAAAGGTACCACAGCAACTGGGCTTTGAAAAGTGTTAAGCTGGCTAACATCAGGAAGGAAAAACAACAACAAAAAAATCCCTCAGTTTGGTCCTGGTCCTCGTCTTGCCAGGTGGTACACTCTGTGAGCTAAGGTGAATTAAGAATACAATGTTTAAAGGTTCACAGTTCTGTCTTTCCTTTTTTCTGATACACTGACTTTTCTTCTGTATCTCAGACTCACCAGGTGAAGGACATAAAATTCTTACCCTAAGGTTAAAATTGAAACTGAGAATTAATGCTCTTCCATTAAATAATACATAGCAAACTAAGCAGAAATAAAACAAAACAAGGAATCAGTCAAAAAGTGTAACTGTAGAACATGATAATTTTCCTGCAGGTCTCTACAATAATGACATGTTCACCTATTTGAAAGTAAAAGACTCAACTGTATAGCTAAAGATATTCAATTTAACAGCCTCCTGCACTTTAAATATCGCATACCAGGCTTGTGAACAAAATTTTCTTATTCTTCTTTAAGAAATGCTTAACAATATGCAGATTGCAGACCTAAAAATAATTTGTTATGTAATGTTGCAGTTTGCCAACTGAAGAGCACTGACGAACAAAGTTAGAGTCAAACCTATTACAACAGTTAATTGTTATCCTATTCATATTGTGTTAGAACTTAGTTTTCTCAGTGCTGAGGAAAAAAAAAAGCACAGCACAAAACAAACAAACCAACTATCCAACCCCAAAACCAGTCAACACACCACAACTGATCACTGCCTAAATTTAATTCAAACGTGAGCTTCTCTCACATATTACTCACGTGTTTAAAGCAACACAAATGATTAAACAAGCAAGATGTCAGAAAGCTTTCTTCCCTTCCCTCTCCTCGTTACTTATCTGTTAAAAGAATTGCCTTACAAAACCTCCAACTTTTCTTTCAAAGAGATGACTTTTACTCTGCCTAAAGTTATCGCATTTGGACCCTGGACATCAACTTGATTGCAATGAAAACTATCATCATTTCAAGATTCATGACCTCTTGTAAGATTCTATGTATCTGTAATTCCTGAGAAACAATGTGATATTAATTCTCATGACTGGACGAGAAAAGCATAGACGGGGACATTTTATTTGCTTGAATAGACATTTCACTACAGCACACGAATAAAAACTGAAATCTGCGGGAAAAAATTACACACACATGAGCACACACACACACTGCAAAATCAGAATCTGAGGAGACCACTGCAGTTCCTACATACATACATACATAACAGAGAAGGACGTATGTTCCTTTTGATTGAAGACAAAGGAAAATCTGTATGTCCCCCTTATAATTAGACAGCAGTAAATAAATACTAAATAATGATACAACTTCAAGATTTCTTATTCCCGTTGAAATGGAGGAATCTCAAAAACAGTGCTTGATAAATACAAGGTAGGCTAGCTTTTTTGCCACTATAACAAGAAATAAGCCATAAAACAACTGACTGATCAGAGTTTAAGTACAGTAAGAAACTGTAATTTCAAACTACTATAAATCTGCAACACAATAAGAAATTAAATCTAATGCACACACATGAATATAACACATCAAAGAAATAAAACAAGCAAGAGGAATTAGAAGTTCAATTCAAGTGCCTAACTGTAGGCACCTACTGGTATCTTAGGCACCCTAGTATGTCCAAGGCATCCACACACTGCTGACACTAAGAAAAGCAATCTGGGCAGAGACTCACACCTTACTGCATGAGCAGCTGGATGCCCTGCAGCATCCAAAGTGGTAATAAACATATAGATTACAGCAAGTGGATCCAGCCCCAGCTGCCAGCTTCTATCAGGAACACAAGCTGAGAACACAGGAGGACACATGTGGCAGTGGCATGTTCGAACAGGGGGAAGGAAAAGCAAGACTTCTTAGCCCTGGTACTTTGCAGTAAATGTATGACCTCAACTTCATTCTCTTCTGCCTTTCAAAATACTCTTCATCTTTCTAGCTCTCGTCCCTTGGTATATCTTTTACATGGACATTATCAGCACTATGTACTGTCCATCCACTCACTACATTTCACTGGGAATGAGTGGTATTCATTCCCTAGCTGCATATCATCTTCTAGTCATTTTTATAGCAACCCTTTTTCTATATAAAAAGCACAGTCAACTTCACTGGTGCTGTTTACAGTGCATAAAAGCCAGTCACAACAAACGCAAAGAAAGTGACAAGAATGACAGAGGCACTGGATTACTCAATTTGTGATCTGGCACAAAAATACGCTGACACATATTCAGAAAAACCTACAGGTCACTTGGCATCAGACCACAGCGCATAACTGGAGTGTATCATCTGTTCAAACCACTGCAGAGTCAGAGTTAGAAGTGCAGATCTACCTAGGTTAGGGGTACAGCAAGCATCAAGGCAGTATCTAAACCTCAAGTTTATCAACCACTTACACAAGAAGACAGTTTGAGACAGAAGATTATGACTTCATGAATGAACATGTACCTTAATTTTTTCACCAGGTTATACACCTTCTGAATTTATTAAGATGATTATACTGTAATTCCAAAATAATCTTTAATTTATCTCAGAGATGAGGTTAGTAGGCATGAAAGCTGATCTTAGCCACAGCTCATCTTAATCATTGGTTCTGAGTTCTTTGTTTGAATAACACATCCCATCTTTGCATCAAGCTTCCCAGATGACACACACCTACGATTTATACTTGTGCTAGGAGTCTAAACAGAATTTTAATTGTGTACATCCAATATATTCCAGTAAATCAAAATCAGATCCTGGATACATAAACTCTGCAAGATTTTTATTTTGATGGAGGCTAGAGATACAATCAAAGCCAAGAAATTTAATCCAACCAATAGGTTTCTTGTGCCCACACCTGAGGCAGATTTCTGTCCATATGTAGAACAGAACCATCTTCAGTATTTAGTTTAGACAAATTCAAACACAATTAGCCATTTTTACCAAGATTTTGGCCCCAGACTGAGAAAATCCCATTAGATTTTGTCACCATCAATACTGAATGCAAAGATGACTACGGCTTTGTTTTCCTATCAGTCTTTCACAACATTACTTTAATCTCTTTAGGCTATGCAACAGTGTAAGAAGCCATACAAATTACTGAAATGCTAATTTTGGGTACAAGAGATAAACATAATTATAAACCAGAACATAATCATAGAAATGGAAATTTTTGCTTTGCTTTTTACAACTCATTTGGTGGCATTTAGCACAGTATAAAGTGTAAACTTGCAAACAAATCTATGCAATTGTTGAAATGGTGGGGGCAATCAACATTCCAGAGAGTATTAGATATTTCTTCTGCTCGTGGAGTTATAGTAATAGTAATGACATTTACATTTTTTCTCATTTCTGGATTTAAATGTAACACAGGCCTTTGCGTGTTTATTCTCCCACTATCAACTGAACAGTGTTAAAGTACACAGGATTTAAACACAGTAATGGCAAAAACAAAATAAGTGACAGATTTGCCATCAGAAAAACTAAGTCAAGTCATGAATATCACTTGCAGAACTCAGTCAATGGTCCTCCAAGCTTCATGCCCCCCTAGTTCAACATTGGCAAAACCATGAACTCACGGTTCCCTTCCCTCTCTCTCCATCATACAACAGACGTGGCTGATCAGCTAACTGACCAGTTGTGTCAAGCCTGTGAGACTCAGGAGTATAACAAATGCTGCAGCATGAAAGCCAGGGAACGGATGTTTCCTAGTAAGGCTCTGTGCTCTAACGACATCTGTCATCAAGCCTGCCGCTTTGCAACACCTCTCCCTGCAGGCAGTACACGTTCCTAGCTTGTTCAAGTACAGAAGAGAACCAATTCTTGAAATATATCCATATAACTGAGGATATGAGTATCAATCAGCGGTACATTCACCACATTTCAAAATGGTATGTGGACTATCACAGAGTTTAGCAAACACCACTGCCAAGAAAAAAAACCAAACATATAACTATCCACAAAACTTGCAAGATCCTGCTGATGGTTTTCATAGAATATCTCAAGTTCGAAAGGACCCATAAGGATCATTGAGTCCCACTCCCTGCTCCTCGCAGGACTACCTAAAGCTAAACCATATATCTAAGAGCAGCGTCCAGATGCTACTTGAACTCTGACAGGGTTGGTGCTGTGACCACTTCCATGGGGAGCCTGTTCCAGTGAACAGCCACCCTCCCAGTGAAGAACCTTCTCCTAATGTCCAATCTGAACTTCTCCTGATACAGCTTCAGTTCATTTCTTCATGTCCCATTGCTGGTCACCAGAGAGAGGAGATCAGCACCTCCCCCACTGCTGCTGCCCTCGAAGAAGCTGCAGACTGCAATGAGGTCGCCCCTCAGCCTCCTCTTCTGACTCCAGCTGTTCTTTGTAATTCTTGCCCTCAAGACCTTTCACCAACTTGGTCGCCCTCCTCTGGCCACACTCTTAATAGTTTGACGTCCTTCTTATACTGAGGTGCCCACAACTACACACCATACTCAAGGTGGGGCCGCACCAGTGCAGTGTAGATGGGACAATCATCTCCCTCAACTGGCTAGCTATTCTGTGCTTGGTGCACCCCAAGACATGGTTGGCCCTTTTGGCTTCCAGGGCATGCTGCTGACTCTTCTTCAATTTGCCATAACCCAAACCCCCAGATTTCTTTCTGCAGGTCTCCTCTCCAGCCTCTCATTGCCCATTTTATACACATAACCAGGACTGCCCCATTCAGGGAGGAGAATCCGGCACTTGCTCTTGTTAAATGTCATATGGTTGGTGATTTTCCAGCTCTCTAGTCTGTCCAGATCTCTCTGTAAGGCCTCTCTACCTTCAACGGAGTCCACAGCTCCTCCTTTTTAATATCAGACAAACTTACTAAGGTACATTTGATTCCTGTGTCCAGATCATTTATAAAAACATTGAAGGGCACTGGCTCTAAAATTGAGCCCTGGAGAACCCCCTGGTGATTGGCCACCAGCCTGATGTTACCCCACTTACTGCAACTCTTTAAGCCTGACACATCAGCCAGTTGTTCACCCATCATATTATGGGCTTGTCTAGCTGTATGCTGGACATTTTGTCCAGAAGCATACCAAGAGAGACAGTATCAAAAGCTTTGCTAAAGTCCAAAACCACAATATCTATTGGCTTCTCATGGTCAACTAGATGGATGACCTTGTTATGAAAGGAAATTAAGTTGGTTAAGCAGGACTTTCCCTCCCGTGAACCCGTGCTGGCTACGACCAATGACTGCATTGTCTCCCAAGTGTTTTTCAATAACTCTGAGAATAATCTTCTTTATAAATTTACCAGGCACTGATGTGAGACTGACAGGCCTGTAATTACCAGGGTCTTCTTTCTTACCCTTCTTGAAAACTGGGACAACATTTGCCAATTTCCAGTTGACTGAGACCTCTCCAGACTTCCAAAATCTTTGAAAAATAATGGAGAGAGGTTTCACGATGAAATTGGCCAGCTCTTTCAGTACCCTGGGATGAATCCCATTGGGTCCCATAGATTTATGCACACCTTTGACACATTGAGCAAGTCTCAAATATGCTTAGGGTCAGCTGGGACCATCCTCCCAAGTCACAGTCTTCCAACACAGGGCCCCAAGGGTCCCAGAGCCCAACATCAGTGTTGAAGACAGAGGTGAAGAAGGCATTAAACGTCTTCATTTTGTCTACTTCCCTATTTGTGAGGTGACCGATCTCATCAAGCAACAAACCAATGTTATTTCTGATCCTCCTTTTGCTGTTAACATATTTAAAAAGCCCTTTTTGTTGTTCTTCACAGTGCCGGCCAGCCTGAACTCTAACTGAGCTTTGGCTGCATGAATTTTCTCCCCACTGTGGTGAACAGTATCTCTGTAGACCTCCAGTGTCACCTGTCCTTGCTTTCAATGTCTGTACACTTTCTTTTTCTGCCTAAGTTCTAGAGGATCCCTGCTCAGCCAAGCCGGCCTTCTATCCCACCTGCTTGACTTCCAGCACTTTGGAATTGCCTGCTTCTGTGCTCTTAAGGGGTGGCTCTTGAAAAGTGACCAGCATTCATGGACCCCAATACCTTCAAAAGCACATTCCCAGGGGGCCTTACAATCAGAAAAGAAAATTTGAAGATTTTTTTTTTTTAAATAAATGATCTTTAGTAAACAACCGTCCTGCAATTTATGGCCAAAGGTCAGTCTTGCAGTTCCCTGCCAGCATCCTTCCATTCACATGTTCACTCCTGTGGAAACCATTTTAAAAATGCGCGACTATGGTTACCCACGATAGCTAAGAAAAGAAAAAATCATCAGTTTAACAGCTGACCTCAAAGTCACCTACAGCAGCTTAGCAAGCATGGGGATGAGGAAGCCAAGCAACATAAATTACTTTTTGCACAATAGCCTAAATGTTACAGCACTAGTCCAGAAAATGAGACACAGCCTATCAACCTACCCTTCGGGCCTGAGCCTACTTCTCTAACAACCCATGAGATTTTTTTATGCTATTATGTTATATACATGTAAACACACAAATATACATATAAGCCATTTATATGCTTGTATATATAAAGCATATAAATATATACTTGTACATAGAATCATAGAATCATTTAGGTTGAAGGAGACCTTCAAGATCATAGAGTCCATTAACTTAACACTGCCAATTCCACCACTAAAGCATATCCCTAAGCTCCGCACCTACACATCTTTTAAATATCTCCAGGGATGATGCCTCAACCACTTCCCTAGGCAGCCTGTTAATACATATATACATATACATATGTAGAGAGTGTGTGTGTGTATACAGCATTGTGTTTTAAAAGGAAAAAGCTGCCTTTCAAAGAATAAAACTCAGCTAAGTGGTAGCCAGTGAATACAAATCAACTTGGAGCCTGTTGACTTAAGGGCTCATTAAAGGGATGTTGGTTCAAACCCCTTAGCAAAGAAGGCCTCCCAAGGAGATGAGGAACAGGAATGTCATATTCTTTGTTGCAGTATTCCCCTCATTCCTTCCAAATGAACTCGCTTTTGAATAAAAATGAAATGTAAATTTATCACCTTACAGAGACACCCCCTTCAGTCAGTGTCACAGGAGGAAATAAGCACTGCTTTTATGCATGCTCATCCAAAGTATCTGAGCCATGCCTTAACTTCAAGGCATGTGGTGCTGATGTACCCAATCAGGCAGGCTGAACCTAAACACAGCCTGGCCCATCAAACCAGTCAGAGCAAATGCTGCTGCAGCATTCATGTCTTGTACCTTTCGACTGATCTACTCTCATAACCAGTACCATTTAAGTTCATCTTCTTGTTACTTGAAAGTTCAAGGAAGGTAAAGCCTCTACTGAAATAAACAGCAAGCATCAAATAATGGCTCCTTCAAAATCATAAGCTAGTTATAAACAGCAAGTTATATGGTAAACCATTTTACGTGATTGGTAAACCATAACTTCCAAAGATAACAAAAAAACAATGACTATATTTGCTGAAAATTAAAATTACTGCTTCAAATTTTATTAATGATTTGCAAATCATTATATTTTTGATTAGCACTTAGAAAAGATCACTACAATGATCCATTATTCATTTTAGTAGGGAGCAGGTAGAAGTCTGTTCTGGAGCTTTAATTTTGCAAACCTATTTCTTTTTTTCTGTTGTACTAGAATATTAATATAAGTACACTCCAACATACACGAATATGCTACACGGTGACTATTTCATTAAGTCCAGCAAAATACACTGCCACTGGCTAATTCACTCAAAGTGCTGTCAGTCTGTTTGCCCTTTTCTGACATGAGACATCCTACCATGAATTCAAGTAATTGCTAAGAGGCTTAAAAAGAAAGTAAGTTTGATGCCCAAAAACATAATAGCTGCATAGAACTGTTCCTAAATGAGTATCACATATTTGCCCCTCTGGACTTATATTACTGGGAGAATTTTTCAATGGCAGCTACAGAGGAAGCCAATTTATCATTTTATATGCACAGAAACATTTTACTTCTATGGGGAGGGGAAGAAGCTTCTGAACATATATGAAAGGCTTTTAGTTTACATTAATATAGCAGTCATAACGCTATCTTATATTCACATATGCACCTTATCCTTCGTTTTAATGCCACAGGGAAGTGAAAGAAACAGTTCACAAATAAACCATGCAAACACTCTTCTGATGTGGAGCTGTAAACAAATACTCCATCATCAATACAAAACAGCATACGAAAAAATAAAGAAAAGTCTATATTTCAATTCCAGGGCATGAGGGAACAGAAAAGCTATTGATTCACAGAAACTGTCTGATATGCTTTCCTAGGCATTCACACAGGCGCTTAACCATTAAAAATAGAACTATGCAAACAGCAGTTAATATGGTGCCTATACAATCCCACTTGTTGGGCCAAAACCTAACACAGACATAGCTTCTTAAAATGTGTATGACAAGGCTCAAGTCAGGTAACAGTTGCACTGTCATTAGCATATGACCTACTATGACAATAGTAGCTGTCATAGTAGTAGACGATAGGCTGGAGAGCTGGGCAGAGAGGAACCTGATGAGGTTCAACAAGGGCAAGTGCAGGGTCCTGCACCTGGGGAGGAACAACCTCATGCACCAGTACAGGCTTGGGGTGGACCTGCTGGAGAGCAGCTCTGCGGCTGGGTGTCCTGGTGGACGACAGGTTAACCATGAGCCAGCAGTGTGCCCTGGCTGCCAAGAAAGCCAATGGGATCCTGGGGTGCATCAAGAAGAGTGTGGCCAGCAGGACGAGGGAGGTTCTCCTTCCCCTCTACACTACCCTGGTGAGGCCTCATCTGGAGTACTGTGTCCAGTTCTGGGCTCCCCAGTTCAAGAAAGATGAAGAGCTACTGGAGAGAGTCCAGCGGAGGGCTACAAGGATGGTGAGGGGACTGGAGCATCTCCACTACGAGGAGAGGTTGAGGGAACTGGGCTTGTTCAGCCTGAAGAAGAGAAGGCTGCGAGGGGACCTTATAAATGCCTACAAATATCTGAAGGGTGGGTGTCAGGAGGATGGGGCCAAGCTCTTTTCAGTGGTGCCCAGTGACAGGACAAGGGGCAATGGGCACAAACTGAGGCACAGGAAGTTCCGTCTGAACATGAGGAAGAACTTCTTCCCTCTGAGGGTGACGGAGCACTGGAACAGGCTGCCCAGGGAGGTTGTGGAGTCTCCTTCTCTGGAGATATTCAAGACCCGCCTGGACAAGGTCCTGTGCAGCCTGCTGTAGGTGACCCTGCTTCGGCAGGGGGGTTGGACTAGATGACCCACAGAGGTCCCTTCCAACCCCTACTATTCTGTGATTCTGTGATTCTGTGACAAGGCAATGGTATTATACAAGGATTGTTCTCATCCAGAGGAGCAACCACTAGCTCTGGGAAGGACAGCTTATAGGATGTTGATGTGGAAGTTAGCTTTTCACCAAGGGTGTATCTCTTCTCGATACATTGCTGACAATGCATGGCAGCAGTTCACTGGCCTGAGGAATGCAAAACAGGGTTTAAAAAGTTGTTCTGAAACAAGGTGTTCCAAAGCACTTGTATAAAACTACCACACACAAGATGGATGAAAACAAAATGGTCACTATGTTATCCAAGTCAGCAGAAGAATAACCAAATATATCTTAATGAAGATATACTTTCTCCAGGAAAAGCTGTAAGAAACATAACCTCCCCTACACGGACATCCCAGAGCTGTTCTGCTTAACCCACAACCTAAAACAGCAACAATGGAAAAAAACATAGTCAAGAAGGGGGGAAAAACAAGAGTCATAAACCTTTATTACTCCCTCAAAAAAACCCCAACAAAATGAGACCAAAGATAAAATTTTCTGCATCATGTCACAGTTCTCTTCTAATACCAATTTCCTTATTCTCAGAAAGCTTTTGCTTGCCCAGGAGACTACATATATACAAAGACAGGCGAGTTGCGAATTCAAGTTGTTTGACTTTCAGTATTACATGCTTCTAAATCACTTTCTGTAATACTGTCCAAAAAGTCAGTTTCCTAAACAGTAGAAACGTTTCAAAAGACAGAGTGACTTCAACAGAAAAGAAAAACATTATTTTTCCAGTGTGGCACTGGACAATGTTCTAAACTTCATTGCAGCAATGTGCCAAACATACCACCACAAAGGAAGTGTAAAGAACTACAGATTAATAAAGCTGATCTCTTCCGTCCATTCAAGAGTGCCTAAAATCTTTGAAGTAAATCTGCTGATGGAGTAATTTCTCTATGGTGGTAACACTAAGAGGAGA